GATTATTAATAATGGACATCTGAACAAACTCTGCACTTAGTGACAGCCGAGCTTGTTCAGGGCTGTGTCAAGGCTTCTTTCCCTGTTCGTGCTGCCCAGCTCTGGTCAGTGGATGAGTTTTCCTCTGGGAAAGGAGGGGGGGGAGCATTTTGGGGTGACCCAGGACACCATTAAACATCTGCCTGTGCCCTGCCAGCAGCACACGGAGCAGCTGCCACCTCCTCTCCTGGGCTCACCCTCTTTGTTATGGCAGTGGAGGATGCTGCTGGAATCTGCAAATTCATCAGCAGCATGAATGTTAACAGTGGTTTGCAACCCCAGTGTGCTGTCAGATCCACATCAGTAACTGAAGGGGTGAAGCGAAAAATAGGTGTTTGATACCCGAATTTGAACCCTTGGAAGATTCAAGGTCCTTCACAGAAGAAGGAGCTGGTGCTGCTGGGGGCACAGCAGAGTTTGTACACGGCCAAGGCTTTGGTGGCTTTGTGTCCTGGCTGTGCCCTGTGCAAGGACACAGAGCAGTTTGTCAGCCAGGCTGATCCCAGTGCCCTCACCCATCAGCAGAATTTTCCCAGCCTTGCTGCTGCTGGCTGGAGCAGTTCTGTCCCCTCCCCTGAGGTGACTTTGCTGTGACATCCTCAGCCAAGCACCCACTGCAATATTCCAGTGGCATTCCTGGCCTGGCTGGGGCTGTTCCTTGGAGCACGTTTGGTTCCAGGAAGCTTTATTCAGGCTCGTGCTAATGCGTTTGTTCTTGGGGAAAAAAAAAAAAAAAAAAAAATCTCTTTGTGATTCATTTGCATTGAGTTAGCTGGAATTAGAGCTTGTTTGTGTGGTGCTTGGGGTGAAGCTGAATGAACACAAGGGACAATTTGTGGTGCAGCAGAAGCGTTGTGGTGCAGCCTGTTTACAGGTGCATTGTAATTTTCAGGCTCCGTAGAAAGGAGTTTTAATGCTTTATCTCTTTGGAATGTAGCAATTAAAAATATTTAAAAGAGTGGAGGTTCAGTGCAGGCCTGGGAGTTCAATATCCTGAGTTGATTTGCAGACATAATTACACAGATAAGCTCTGTGTGTATCTGTTTGGAGTTCATGTGACCTTTTCTGGAGAAGCAACTTATGGAGAACTTTGTTGGTATTTAAATATTAATATTATCAAGCACATGCTTGAACATCTGATCCTGTTTTCATCACTGGTGACTGACCATGGCTGGGATTTATTGCTCCCTTCCCCGTGTGCTGGATGCAACAGCCACGTCAGGTTTCATCACCCCTGCTATTTCCTGATGCTTTTAATAAATGGAAATACACAAATCAATGCCTGAGAGCTCAGAAATCCCAGCTAATGCTGTGCCTGAAGTCCTGGGGAGGCAGGAGCTGCTCCCACTGGCAGCACAGGCAGCTGGACTCTGACCCTGCTCCTGTTTCTCCCTGCTTAAAGGGGAAATATTTCTCCTGGCCACTGTGGGGTGAAGCCAGGCTGCAGCAGGAGCTGGGCTTGCAGGGCTCCCCTTTATTTGGGAGATGGGAACTGTGGTTCCTGCTCCAGGGAGGGTGTGATGTTCCTTGGGTGTGTGACCCCAGGTACCCTGAAATGTCCTGGACAGAGTCTGGAGGTGTCACTGCTGTGTGCCCTGAGTGCCCCAGCAGCTCTGGGCACTTTTCTTGGTGTCCAAGTCAGGCTGTGCCTCAAGGCTGGCAGTCTGAGGCTGTTTTATCAAGGAAATGCTCTGGAGCTGTGTGTTGGCTGTGAGACATGGGAAAGTTGTTCCAGAACAGAACTGGGACTGTTCTTAGCCCTTTGAGCAGGCTTTGCCCCCTGCAGGGGCTGCAGGCAGAATCCTTTGACACTTCCAGTGCAGCCTCTGAGCTCCTGTGGCTGCTGCTGCTGGATTTGTGCCTGGAAGAGAGAAACTGCTGCGAGGGATCTCTCACTCCTTGCAGAGGGAATTGTTGATTTTTTTTTGAGGATTTTTTGACACATAGCAGAGCTAGAAGTCGATTTGAATTGTTTCTTGATTCTTAATAAATTTATCTTGACAGGTATGCTGATTTGGGAGGAAAATGCCTTCAGAACAGGGTAAAATCAGGAATATTTGAGGAGATTTAGGTGCTTGCTTTAGGCAGTTTGTTAGGGCACTGTTACCTGCATTCATGACAGGCTGCAGTTACATTTAAACCCACATTTAAGGCACAGCACAGCTGTTCAGGTGAGTTTGTGACAGGAGTGTTTTCAGCACCAAAGCAGAGCTGGCCTAAGGGAACTGGACTAAGCCTTGCCCACTTCGTGGCACTCAATGGCTTTTTTTTTTTATTCTGAAGGGTTTTTTGGTGAATGAGGTGGAAACACAAAGTGCTGCCTGTGGGAAGGTGCTGGGTGAAACAAGAGCCCTGTGTTCAGGCTGTGTCTGGTTTTCCCTTGCACAGACTAAACCTCACATCTCACTCCAGAGCATTTACACGTGGAGACAGACACGTCCTGGGAAGGAAGATAAGCTTGTAAAATATAAAAAAAAAGCCATTTCTGCTCACCCCAGTGGGGTTGAACCCAGTTTGTGCAGTATTTTTTCAGACAGGGAAGCCAAATTCTTCAGGAGAGATGGGTTTAGTGAAGTGCACCTGGGGAACATTTTTAAAAACCAGTTTTCTAACTTACCCTTCCATTCTGTCAGTGCAGCTTTAAAGCAAATCAAAGCACTCCGGGAGCATTTGTCACTTTGTGCCACTGACAGGGCAGGGTGTGTCTGTCCACACGCTGGTTTTGATGACAAATGTACTCTGCCCTCTGGAGAAAGAGCAGGGGCTCAAAGTGTGGGGCCTGGTGGATGTGAGAGCCTGCCCCTGGCTCTGAAAGAGGAGGTTTTGGATTGAATTTTGGGAGGAAATTCCTCCTGGTGAGGGGGTGAGGCCCTGGCACAGGGGTCCCCTGGATCCCTGGAATGTCCAAGGCCAGGCTGGACAGAGCTTGGAGCAGTCTGGGACAATGGAAGGTGTCCCTGCCATGGCAGGGGTGGCACTGGGTGGGCTTTAAATCCCCCCCAGCCTCTGCTGGCGTGCTGTGGAAGGGCACTGAGGGTGTGTGAGCCGTGCTGTGTTGGTGCTGGCAGTGTCACCAGAGCTCTCTGCTCTCCTGTGTGCTCATGTCACCTGCTAATGGCATTACAGGGGCTGTGCTGGGCACGGCATCAGCCTGGCCCTGCAGGGACAGGAGCTGGGCTCACTTTCACACCTTTATCCCAGCTCCCTCTGAAGGGCTTAGGAGCTGCTGTGATTTACTGCTGGTATTTCTGAGCTGGCTTAGGTGACCTTAGAGCTCATGCCCTGCCATGGCAGGGACTCCTTCCACCATCCCAGGCTGCTCCAGCCCCATCCAGCCTGGCCTGGGGCATTCCCAGGGATCCAGGGGCAGCCACAGCTGCTCTGGGCACCCTGTGCCAGGGCATCACCACCCTCACAGGGAACAATTTCCTCCAAACCCACCTAAAGCTCCTCTCTTTCTGTGGGAGGCCCCTTTGCTGTCCCTCCATGCTCTGAAGTTGCACAATTTCTTAGCAGAGCTGTTGAGGATGCTCAGAGCTTACCTGTACTGGAGGGGGAACTGGGGAATCAGTTCTACCGGGAAAATTGTCACTCACTGAGAGCCAGGAGGACACTTGGAGCAGTGGGGTTTGTGTCCCGTGTCCCTGGGCACACTCAGACACTCTCAGATGATGTTTCTGGTCTTAATTTTGGTGAAAAACTCCGAGTTACACTCTAGGCTTTGGTGTCTCTGAGCAGCACGTTTAAACTGCTGCCTTTGAGCTGTGTGGGTTAAACCTCAGAGCAGGTTTAATGGCTGGGCTTTGGAGCTGGGCAGGGCTGGGCAGTGCGGGTCAGCAGTCCTGAATCTTGTGGCTCCCCCAGGGCTGTGTCAGGAGGATGTGCAGCACAGAGGGGCTCCAGGATGAGTGCAGCTCACCAGGAATGCCTGCAGGCAGGTGGGGACAAGGAAAGGCTTTGGGATGAATATTCTGGAGCAGACTGTACACCTGGGAGCCACAGCCTTACCTGCATTTCTCTCCAAACTGGATTTGGTGAAGTGGGGCTTTTCTGTTGCTGCCACTTGGGAGTTGTATTTATTTCTCCCCCCTTCCCAAATAAAAAAAAAACCATTTTTAGCTTGAGGAGACAGACTTGGTTGTGGTCAGAAGACAACACAGTCACTGCATTTTTTTGGAGTGGCTTTGTCACATGGATGCTAATTGCAGAGAGGTCCTGGAACATTCTTTGGGGAATGTTGGTGCTGTGGGGCAAAGGCTGCTGCTCACAGGGGATGGGGGATAGTTCAGAATTTATTGGGAAAGAGACAGTTCGCCCAGATCTGAGTGAGTGGCTTTAAAATTCTCTGCCGAGATCCATTTATTAGGTTATTTGCAGCCTCTGGTGTGTGTCCTCCAGGGTGTGTAAGTGGTTTTCCTGGCCCAGGACCAGGTTTTTCCTCCTGCAGACAAAACAGTGCATTGCTTGTCTTGTTGACCTACTCCTCTAAATGTGGCACTTGGGAGATCTCCATTTAAATTTAAACTCGTGAAAGGGGATTCTCCATCTCCCTCCTGTTAATCATTGTGCTGTCTATTTAATGTTTTCACAGCCTCTGTGACTCCTCTCGTTTCACATGTTGGGAGACAGACTGGCAGCAGCAGTAAGCTGAAACCAGCTTTTATTCAGAAAGGGTTTCAGTGCTGTAAAAGGAGAATTTTTTTACAGCAGAGGCATGTGCGTTTTCTAATTTAAAATGGGTTACATTTCTGTCAAAATAGGATCAGGCATTCCATCTGCTCCTCTGTCTGAGGTCTGAGCCCGAGTCTGGTTACCGGGGGGGGGAAAAAATTACTGCAGGGGAGTATTTCAGTCGTGGGCTGTTATTAGTGGTGCTGAGTGTGACCTCCCTCCCTCGTGTGGCTGCACGGTGAGCACGAGTGTGTTTATTTTAAATAAAAAGAGAGTTTGCCTGTCTGCAGGGCACAGGGGACGTGCCTGTCCCCTGAGTTCACTCAGCAGCGTGACTCAGGGCACGGGCACGCAGGGAATGTATTAATTGCTTTCTATCTGCTGCCTATCAGAAAATAGATGAGGCTGATGGGACTGCCCACGGATTGTTCACAGGATCCCCGCACTCCGGGCACTATTTCCCGGGCAGCTCAGCACACTGAGCTCCCATCCCCCGGAGTGATGAAGGATGAAGATGATGCTGAAGATGGGGAGAAGACCCTGGGGGAGCCGAGCTAAGTGAAGGATGGAGAGGCAGGAGCAGAGCAGCCGGTCCTTGCTGTGAGCTGGGCTCATGTGGCAGCCCCGGCTCCGAGCTCAGCATGATTTGTTGGTTCTCGTGTGCAGCCAAAGGCTCCGTAGGTATCACAGCTCGGGCTGGGTCCTGGCAATCCTTTAGAGCTGTGGGAATGTGCAAGGCTCGGGTTGTGCACGTGTGGGGTGGCAGTTTGTTGGGAAGGATGAATTTGGGAAAGCTTATAAATACGAGTGCCTGGCAAAAGACTTTGAGAATATGGAAAATAGAAGAGAAATAGAAATGACAGCAAATTTTTGACTGTGTGGCTGAAAGCAACTGAATGCCTGAAGGCCCCTTTGTTTAGATAATGTGAGATACTGCAAATACCAAAAAACAAACAGACATCCTCCCTAGGCACGGCAGGAAGGGTCCCAGACAAAATTTAGAGATAAGAAAAGCAGTAAAACATGGTAATATAGTGATTGCTATAGGTTGCATGCAAATGTTAAAGAATTTGTATCTTGTATTAGATTGGTTAGTGGAAATCAGAATATTCGACATAGAAGATTTAATGTGTTGTAAATGGGAAAATCGCTCTCTTATGCTCCCTCTTCGTTCTTACTTTCTTGAGCTCTCTTCTTTTACTCTCACTCTGTCCCTCTCTCTGCCCTGCTCTGAGCTGTGGCTGCAGTTCCCAGCAGGGCTTTATATAAACCCACACCCTGCGAAATAAACTGCAAACTTTGAGACCAGAATAAAGAGAGCTCCTGAGTTTGTCCCAGCCACCCCAAGGCAGAGATTCCTACAGCAGTTCTGTTGGATTAATGAGTGTTGTATCTCCTTAGCAGCTCCTCCTGTGAGGAATTTTTCCTGAATTTGAAATGTGTTTGTTAAATGTATTATTATTTAATCATGGAATGGGTTGGGTTGGAAGAGATCTTAAAGCTCATCTCATCCCAGGGACAGCTCCCACTGTCCCAGGCTGCTCCAACCCCAATGTCCAGCCTGGCCTTGGGCACTGCCAGGGATCCAGGGGCAGCCACAGCTGGGAATTGCCCACCCTCCAGGGAACAATTCCTGCCCCAAATCCCACCCAGGCCTGCCCTGTGGCAGTGGGAGCCATTCCCTGTGTCCTGTCCCTCCATCCCCTTTTAAACCTAGTGCCCCATAGGCTGTGGGTACAAATGACTGAAGAGTTGTAATCAAAGGGGGAAAGGTGAAGGTGATGGATTTGGTTGGTTTTGTTTGTTGGATTCTTTTAAAGTCATGCTTCTGTTAATGTTAACTTTTATGAAATGGGAGTGAGGACTGGCTGGGGAGGATTTGGGAGGATTTTCTGTCCATTTGGGTGAGCTGTGCTGGCAGGTATCAGGTGCAATCCCACCCCAGGTGAGATCTCTGTCCTGAAAGGATGGGAAGGCACCAGGAGAATTCGGGGAGCACAGAGCTTGATGCTGTGAATGTACAATCTCTAAAATGTTTATTTGCCATGAGAAGCTGAGCCTGGCATGAGGAGGTGGCTTTGTCCAAGCTGGGCAGGGACATGGCACTGCTGATGTCACCAGGGCAGTGACTTCCCAGGCCAGGCTGCCTTGGCTTTCAGGCTAATGGATGTGTTAATTGATTGATTGATTGATTGATGAGTCAGTGGTGCACCTCAGCCGGTGCTAATTTCATTAGTGCTCTATTTTTGACTCCTGTCACTTCTAGCAGGGTTAGCTGCTGCTAAGCCTTCATGATTACTGTAATCTTGTTTATTGTGGGAAAGCAGAGTAAGGATAATCACCCAGGGTTGTTAGGGCTGGAAGAGCCCTCTGGAGATCCTCCAGGCCAGCCCTGCACAGGCAGGGTCACCTGGAGCAGGTGACACAGGAACGTGTCCAGGTGGAGGGACAGGATCCAGCCCTCCCTGGGCAGCTCCTCCAGGGCTCTGCCCCCTGTGTGGAAAGAAATTCTTCCTCGTGTTGAGGTGGAAATTCCTGTATTTTAGTTTCTGGTTATTTCTTCTTGTGCAGTGTGGGATCATCATCTGCCATCCCTTGGAGATATTTTATGGATTGATGGGATCCCCTCTGTCTGACCATGAGTGCATTCCCTGTTACAAATCCGTGCAGGTGGTGGATTTTTGGGGCTGCTCTTTTTTGTGTATCCTCTTTTACTTAAACCCTGGGCTGGGGTTACCTGGTTTAATGTTCTTTACATTGTGAGGAGTTTCTGAGCCGTGGTGAAAAGTAACTCCATGCACCACAGGCTGCTTTTGTCTCACCCTTCACCTTCTTCTGCTGTGCAGAGTTCATTTGAATGTTGTCCTCCTATTTGGAGTATAATGCTCCTTTGGAAACCTTGTTTTTCTGTTGAATATCAAACATCAGTGTCCAGCTTGGATGTGAGGTTTGTGTCACAGAGTTTCCTGAAAAGCCCTGAGCCGTTCCCAGGGATGCTTTGGCAGGGAGGAGAACAAACTCTGCATTTCAGGGTGGGAGGCTTGGCCTGGGGCCTGAAATTCGAAGTTTGAAGTAAACAAGAGAGGAGTGAGGGGTGAGACTGTCTGGGGCTGGATGGGTGATGGTCTATTTATAATTCAAAACTATCAACTTGGAGTATTTCTTTCTTCTGCAGCTCAGTGGATGTTCTACCCTTGAATATCCCACTTAGCTAATTCCTGACCCACCGAGCAGCCTGGCTCAGCCAGGAAAACGTCCTGGAGTGTATTTTTAGTGCCTCCATTAGCTGTGGGAATATGTAAACTGCACAAAGACAAACTGAAACAGAATGAGGAAAACCAAAGAAATTCGATCCTAAAGGTCTCCTTTAGTGGCTGTCCCAGAGCTCTGCACATTCAATACCAAACCAATGTGACAGGGATGTTGCACAAATAACTCCAGCCATCCTGGTGGGCACGGCCCTGTTTGTAAACCAGGCTGGGTTGTGTTGTTTGTTTGTCCCCTTTGTGGCTCGGCTATAATTCACTTTCCTGGCTCTTCCCCCAGCTGAACCCAGACTGGAACAAGTATGATGACAGGCTGATGAAGGCAGCTGAAAGGGGAGATGTGGAGAAGGTTTCATCCATCCTGGCCAAGAAAGGAGTCAGTCCCACCAAGCTGGATGTGGAAGGGAGATCTGCGTGAGTGGCTTCCAGAGCTGGGGAATGGTGCTGGGAAAGCTGCTAAAAAAAATCACATTTCTGCTGCTCTAGAAGTGCAGAAATCTGTGTCATACCTCATGTAAATGGAGCTTCACTCAGCTGGAGTGCAGCTGGCTGGAGTGGGAATGTCTCAAACCATCCTCACTGCTGTGAAGATCAGTGTTTAAAGGTTTGCTCTCAGGTTTGAGTATTAAAGAAAAACTGAAACCACTCTGGTGTTTCACCTGGTTCACTGATCCAGGTAAATAATGATTATTTCTCAGGAAAGTTGCCTTGTTCCTTGAGGTAATATTTGCAGAACCCCTAACTCTGGATGCTGTCCAGAGCTGGCCCCTGGAACACTTCCCTTATCCAGCTGTTGGCTTTGGCTTTCCTGGCCAAAATTGCCATTTTTTTGGGTACAAACCAGCTGTGCCTAAGCAAGGTCTCTTCTCTTTTTGTTTAGATTCCACGTTGTGGCCTCAAAGGGGAACCTGGATTGCTTGAACACCATCCTGGTGCATGGAGTCGATATCACAGCCACTGATGCTGCAGGTGGGATCCCTCACAGCCCCAGGGCAACCTGGAAACGCTCCCAGCTGGCTTCTATTCTGGAATAAAGTTCAGCTGAACCACGGGATAACCCTTCCTTCTTCCTGGAGCTGGCAAAAACCAAATTATTGGTGTGACTTGTTGCTGGCCCTGAGGAAACTGGCAGTGTCCTGTGATGGAATCCATGAGTGCAGCACAACTTCAGGAATGTGTGTTTGTGCTGCTAGGGTTGTGTTCATAATGTGCTTTATAAAGACTCACTGGTGAGGTTTGCATTTCTGGGTGAGAACAACAGGGTAGGAACAGTTTTAAATTAACTACAAGAGGGTAGGAGCAGTTTTAAATGAATTAAAACAGGATAGGAGCAGTTTTAGATGAA